TAAGACCTTGTAGGGATTCCCATGACACCCGGAGTAAGACCTTGGAGGGTTTCCAGGGCATCCTTATATGTTTGTATGTATGGTTTATATGGAAATTAGTTAAGACCATGTGGGAGTTCCCATGGTAGTGGGCTAAGACCATGTGGAGGGTTTCCATGGCACCAGGTGTAAGACCTTGGAGGGTTTCCATGGCATCCATATATGTTTGCATGCATGGCTTATGTGGTTGATGTGACTTATGTAACTTATATGTCTGATATGGTTTTATGTGATTATGTGGATTGTGTGGGGTATGTTATTGGGAACTCACTAAGCTTTGTGCTTACAATTTTGTTTAGGGTTTCAGGTATCACTGGTTTGGAAATGAAGGACCCGACTTGATCGCATCACACACACCCGTGTTTTCCGTAATAGGTGATTTTGGGATGAACTCTGATAAATGTTTTTAATTAGCAACGTTTTTGGAAAGCTTGGACTTAAAAGATATCCGTCTTTTGACTACGATAAAAATAATTTTTTTACCCTTGAGTTTTTGGTCGTTGCATTTCCGTTTCTTCAAACTCTCTCCCTCTAAGGCTCACTCTTCTCAGGATTTCACCCTCCCTATGAACAACATCCTCCATCTGATCACCAATTGGTTATCACCCTCCAACTATCTTCTTTGGAAAAATCAAATGTTTCCTCTTCTTACTTATTAAAATCTTCTGGGTCATGTTGATGGCTTTAACCCAAAACCTGCCCCAGAAACTATCGTTGATGAAAAACCGATACCGAATCCAGCCTTTACAACATGGCTTTTGGTTGATCACCAGGCTATTATTGTTCTCCATGCATTGCTGACTAAGGAAGCATTTTCTGAAATTGTTGGTTTATCTACTCCCGACATATTTGGGGTACACTTCATGATGCCTATAGAAACTCATTTATTGAATGTGTCCAATCTTTACGTGATTGACTTTTCCAATTTTCCAAGGGTATGTCTACTATTATAGATTTTTGATGTAAATTTAAAAATATTTATGATCAATTGTCTGTCGTTGGCCACTCGGTGGAGGAATCAGACAAATTTCATTTGTTTTTATGTGACCTATGTCCGATTTTTGAGAATTTTTCTACGCTATTCGGGCCTCTCAGTCTCCCACTACTCTATGAGATCTTCTTTCTCAAGCCGAAGCCCACAAAATTTTCTGGAAATCTTTGCATGGGACTGCTTTCCCACCTACGATTTTCTCGGCTATCACCAGGCTGTGTGGTTCTTTTCATGGTCGTGGTGGTCGTTCCTATAAGGGTGGCCACAGTCGCTGTTGTCATCCTCCGCATTGCCAATTATGTCACAAAAATGGTCACTATACTACTGCATGTACGCATCTCTCTTCGTATGTCACTCATAGACCTACTTCAGATACAGATTTTGCAAAAGCTTTTCATGCTTAATGTTATGCTAAAACAAATGCCCTAGATTGGTTTGTTGATTCTGGTGCCACCGACCATATGGCATCTTCCATGGGTTTCGTAAATCATCCTGCTCCTTATGATGGAAATCAAAGGTTGCTTTTGGGGATGGTAATGTTCTCCCCATATCTCACATTAGGCACTCTATTCTTGATAATAATATATGGTTACGAGATGTTTTGGTAGTCCCAAATCTTAGCAAAAATTTATTTTCAATTATTAAATTAACCAAAGATAACAACATTGATGTTTTGTTTTGCCAACCTTATTTTTATATTCGGGATCGAGCAACGAAACGAGTTCTAGCAAAGGGCCAATGTGAACAAGGGTTATATATTCTCTCTCATGAATCGCATGCATTTACGGTTATTACATGTTTGAAGTTGAAAGCATCATACAAGCTTTGGCATTCCCGTTTAAGTCATGTCTCTTTTGAGACTATTTCTCTATTAAATAAATTGGGTCATATTCAGTCACATCTTTATTACCATCACTTGTTATTTGTTCTCCTTGTCAACTTGCAAAGGAACATAGCTTGTCATTTGAATCTAATGAAAAACGTGCTTTACGTGTATTGGAGTTGGTGTATTGTGATTTATGGGGCCCACTACCGTTTGATTTGTTTGATGGTTATCATTATTATGCAATTTTTGTGGATGACTACTCTCGCTTTACATGGTTATATCCGCTCAAAACCAAGTCAAGTTTTCATGTGGTTTTTGGAACGTTTATTAAATTTGTTCAAACACAATTTTCTTCTAAAAGTAAAAAAATTCAAAGTGACGGGGCACAAAATTTTTAAATCACCATGTTTAGAGTTTACTTGATGCAAATGACACTTTTCATCGTATCTCTTGTCTGTACACCCTACAACAAAACGGTCGGGTGGAACACAAGCATCGACACATTACTGCAACTGGTCTTGCCATGTTATTTAATGGGCATGTCCCATCATCTTATTGGGTTTATGCGTTTCACCCGACTGTTTATATCATCAATTGGCTACCCATGCGACTCTTAGACAATAAGTCTCCCTTTGAGACATTGTTTTTTAGGGCTCCTTGTTATGATCATTTTCGCTCATTCGGGTGTCAAGTTTATCCTTATTTACGGGACTATACGGAGCACAAATTATCCCCACGAAGCCTATCATGCATGTTTCTTGGCTATTATACTCAATACAAGGGATACCAATGTCTTGAACCTGCTTCCTCCTGCATCTATATTACCTGACATGCTAAGTTTAATGAGTTAGCATTTCCCTTTAGAGGCTCTCTATCTCGAGTCCCTCTTCACGATCTCCGGTTGGCTGTTTTTCTGGATGATGTCCTGCTCCTCCTCCACCTGTGATGGCTCCTGCTCCTACTCTACCTCCATCGTCGCCTAATCCACCCACCACCAGGTGTAGGCTTTGTGATGATGCTCAATTGTCTCTAGCCTCTAGCCCTATCGTTACGCCTCAATCATCCGTCCAGGCCCTGCAAACAATCCGCCTCCTGTCGATTCTGCTGATGTTGCTGCACACCTCTCCCCTGAACCCGATTCTGCTTCCCCAGCATCGACCCTGCCAATGGCTCCTATTCTGTCCGCTGCACCCACTCCTGGTCACCTTATGGTTACGTGGGCCAAAGTTGGAATCTTTAAACCCAAACACAAAACAGATCTTTCTCACACTACTCAACATGGTTTGTACACTGCATTATTTGCTCACCATAACCTAACCACCTTTGCATCTGCAACTTCTCATTCTCATTGGAAAAATGCCATGGATGTTGAAATGGCCACTCTTTGTCTCAATAGCACTTAGACGTTGGTGCCTAGACCGGTGGATTGCAATGTTGTTGGTTGCAAATGAGTGTTTCAAACTAAGTATCATGTTGATTGCTTGATTGATCATTACAAAGATTGTCTTGTTTCTCAAGGTTTTATTCAACTTTTAGGCATTGATTACTCAAATACTTTTAGTCCAGTTGTGAAGCATCCACGGTTCACATTGTTGTCGTCAATGGTTGGTCTCTCTACCAACTTGATGTTAATAATGCATTCCTTCATGGCACCTTACATGAACTTGTTTACATGGAGCAACCTCCGGGATTTCATGATCTAAGATATCCTGATCGTGTGTGTTATCTTACTAAAGCTCTCTATGGTCTTCAACAGGGTGCATGAGCTTGGTTTCATCGCTTGAGCACCTTTTTGGTTATACTTATTGGTTTATGTTGATGTTTTAATTATTACCGACAATGGTGACACGATTCTTCTCTCTACCATTATTCCTTTGCACAACAGATTTAAATTCAAAGATCTTGGCCGTCTAAGTTACTTTCTTGGGCTTGATTACATAATTAATATCAACGAATTTACGTCTAATATCGTCATTAGTTCTATCAAAAAATAGTTTATCCTTAAAAATAATCTGAAAGCAATATTTTACAAATAGTATTGCAACATAATTCTAAACTAAGATATAATATATATATATATATATATATATATATATATATATATATATATATATATATATATATATATATATATATATATATATATATATATATATTAATACGGATGAAGCAATACAGAAAGATTCGAATACAAATATGTGTACATGAATAAATAATTAATAAATGACAAATGAGGAAACAATTATGTATGATGTAACGTCTAGAATTGTTTTTATTAGAACGTTACTAATTTTATTTTGCTTCTCGATTTTTTTTAAAACTTGTTTTGTTTTATTGGAAAAAGAGAAGACTCTTAACTGATCTGTTTAAAGTTACTTTCAACCAAAACAAAAAAATTGTTATACATGAGAAACGGATTTTCTTTTTGTTTGTATATCCCTTTCACATATCTATAAGGTACTTCATTAATTACTAATTTAATATATATGGTTTCCAACAAAAATGAAATGTTACTCATTTTTGTTGTAAATAATATAAATAATTAGAGTAAATTGAAAAATTGGTTCATATGGTATTCTAAAAGATACACTTTGCGTTCTTTTTTTTTTTTTTTTTGCATGGTTAGTTTAAAAGTGAAACTTTTACAGATTTGGTTTCAATGATATCCTAAAAATACAGCTTGAACAGTTAACTCGAAAAATCAAATCTACAATGAAATTTTTAATATTGGACTAAAAATAACTCAAACCGTTCTTTTAAGTTTAGTAAACCAAGTTTTAATATTGGACTAACAAAAACTCAAACTGTACTTTAAGTAGAGTGTTTACTAGAAATAAAGTTTTGACACAAAGGATTTACAACGCAATAGGACAGATTAATAATTGTATGTTTGGAGTATTGTCGACTGCTGTTTTGTCTTATCCTTTGACTTTAGGCATATTATTTATATATAAAAAAAAAAAAGATATATCACATCGCAAGTAGTTTAATTCCTAGTGCTATTAAAATCTAAAACAAAATCAACTTTTTATAAAAATGTTTATTAATCACAATCCGCCAAGTTGTTACATATATCACTATTTTAAGAAAAAATATATATATATAAACTAATGAGATAAATTTGTAAAATTACGTGCAAGCCCTTCAAAGAATTTGTAGAATCTTCTTAGAAAAGGCCCCACGAATGCCAACCCTACAACAACATGTATTTTTTTTTATTATTAATTCCAATAAATTACCTGCTAATTTATTTATCCAAAAAAAAAAAAAAAAAAAAGAAAAAAAAGATTCGATTACACAGAGACAGAGGAGCTCGCTCTATCTAATAATCCATCCCGTGAATGCTCCGATAAAGCCGAGTCTGTATGCCGGTGTTGCGGTGTTAAAGGTAGGTGCGACGGTGCATGTGGCGGTGGAGGCGGTGGCTCTACCACCGAGTTACGACACAGTGGGCAGTCGGAGTGAGAGTACAACCACATATCGATACACGAAGCATGAAATGAGTGGTTACATCTAGGCAACTTTCTGACTTCTTCGCCGTCTTCAAAAACCGATAAGCAAACGGAGCACTCGGTGTCATAATCCAACTGGGTTTTAATATTAGTACCCTCAATTTCTTTTTTGTATCGGAAACTCGCAGTCAAACCTACGGTGGAACCGCCGCGGGAGAGGGAAGACGGTGGCAGTGATATGTTATTGTTTCGGGTGGCAGCGTTTCTCCGAGGGCCGAAGTGATGATTAGCATCTCGTGAGCGGCGGTATTGTATGGCGCACCACCGTACAATTATGAGGTTGTAGATGGCAAGGACGATGGCAGCGGTGGCTACAACCACGAGACCGTAATATAGCATGGGCATGTTTGATCTGGTTGATGGCGGAGCTTGTGGAGGAGGTGGCGGTGGTGGTGGCGGCGATGATGATTGAGTTGGAGATTTTGGAAGGTTTAGATAGTCACCCATATTTCAACGAATAAATGTCTTCGTATATTTGTGGTGAGATAGGAAGGGGTTTGCAAATAAGTGCCAAGATCATACATATCATCATACTATTAATTACTATTTATGATAAATTTATTTTCAGTTATCTTTTTAAAACAGATAGAATTTATGCAAAAGATAAATCTTCAAAAATGGTCCTTATGGTTTTCAAAAAAAACCAAGATCGATCCTTAATTTTTTTAGATCATCAATGTTGGTCAAAAGCACATGAAGAATCCCAACAACTCGCTTTTCAAATCACTCAATCCCTTTACGACTCTAAGCCCTAAAAGACTCATTTTGTTCGTAGGGTTTAACATAAGGAAGTCTATGTCATTCCTTTATTTTTTTTAACCTCACTTTAATTTTGAATCATATTGGGAAATTGAACGGAAACACATGTTGATTCTCATTATCTACATTCTATCCCCCACTTCGGCTACATTTAAATCCTCATGAACACCATATCTATCGATCAATTTCACTATTTCCATATCTACTTTCGAAGGAAGCCACTAATGGGTACATTTAGACCAACGATTCTTTTCCAATGAGACATGATTTGAACATAAACAAAAGGTTATCTTCAGTGACCTAACATCAGGTTGTGGAAGCTTAGGATTAAGCTGAGTTTGATAAGATTGGTCATGAGGTTGTCGAGCTTCAGGTCCATGGTTTTGTCTTCCAACCAGGTTTTTGTGCGATAATTGTGGGGAAAACATATTGATGGTGCAAATCAAATCAGACAGCTTCACGAGGAAGGAAGTTTGTTTTAGTTTATGAAAGGTTTTCCTGTTATTGATCTTGGGTTTGCTTGTGATAATTGTGGGGATGCAATATTTCTGCCATGCCCAAATTGCAATGGCATCAGAAAGGTTTTTGAGGAAGAAGAAAGGAGATTGATTAGGTGCCCTAATTGCAACGAAACCCACAAACCTGCATCTATAATCGTTTCAGTTACACCCACAAACCTGCATCCATTTACCTTGTGGAAGAAATCGTACCACCATTATACTTGTTGGAAAAAACTTGATTGGGTTCCAAGGTCTTAATACCTTTATGCCATTGCACCAGCCCCATAAGAAGACTGCATAATCTTTTCTCATTCGTTCTCCTTAGATCTCTTTATGTTTCTTTTTCTTTTTTAGGACAATATTTTGAAGGGTTTTAGTATGCTATAACATCCTGTGGTGCACATACAATCCTAACAGATTTGGATCTATGTTTTCTCTAATTATACATGAAATATTGTTTCTAAAGCTTGAAGCCTACAACTAGCATGGAAATGACATAATCAACATAAAAGAGAGTTATAGAATTACCTCTTTATTGTAGCTTGTAGAATTTCTTGAGTTTGGCATTTAAGAACTTAGTGCCTCAAGTGTTGCACCTTAAATGGAATCACAACACACCTAGGACAAGGATGACTTTTGAGAGAATATCCTAGCACCAAAATCGGTTCAATGATCTCCAAGAACACTAGTGTATGTAGTAGCCAATTTTGGATGCTAAGGGGCTTCTTATATAGTGTGGCAAGATTAGGGTTACACCATGTAACCCCTAATGTGCATGAACTTCCATATTCCTAAGGCTCTATGAGTGTAAACCTCCATGGATCATCCATGGGCTATCACATGGGTTTACCCCAACTTAAGGAATCGTGGATCATTGGCCCACACCATAAGAATGAATGATTTACCAATAAATCCCCTTACATTTAATTAGTCTCTTTTGATCACGAAATTAATTCCAAATTAATTCTTGATCAATACTAATTAGATAATAATATGATTTCATATTAATATATTAGAACTTATAATATATTAATAAATCATAAATAACCTCTTCTCAAAAGTCCATCCTATCAAATTGTCCTGGTGATATGCAACCCAAATGAACCATGCTACTCTCGGGTCAAGTACATACCAATTATAGTCATGGGCTTAGACACCTAATCCAATAGTCTCCCACTTGGATAAGTCTAATAACTATTATTGCAAGTACGACTTAAAACCCGACTAGCAATGGTAGCTCTTAAAAGTGGTTGTCGAACTCTGACCTAGTCAATGTCGCGTCCATTAGATAAGGGATCATATATTCCTCCATTCTAAATATCATATGGACTGAGACACGGATTATAATCATTCTCTTTATCCATCTGTTGTTTCCTGCACTACTAGAAAAAAGCCCTTTAATGACGCGCAAACAATGACACGCGCTGATAGACGATACACATTTGTGCGTGCCCTAAAAAATAATGCCAGTTTTGCAAAATATGAAGGATAGAGGTCACCGCATTTGTACGTGCCCTAAAATTAGTGTCAGAAAAGAAAAAAAAAATAAAATGCGGAGGGCACCTTTCATAAAATGTGTGTCATCTAAGAGTGTCGCTTTATAATTTTTTAATGAAACACGTGTTTTAAGCGGGATTCACCCGCCTATATTGGATCCCAAAAATTAAACCCCCCGCCTCTACCAATTAGCAAGAAAAAGCCCTAGGGCGTTGGTCTTCATAGCAGCATCGCACCACCACCCGACCTCCGATCTCGCACCGCCAACTGTCTCCGACCATCTTCTCCAACCATTTAGGAGAAGTTGTTTCCAAATGTTTCAACATTTCATTACGTTTGACCAACTTCTAAACCAATTTTCCCTTCCATCTTACAAAGACATCCTATTTTTCTTCTTCAGCGATTCCCCCCTTCTCCTCTAATTACTTTCTTGGCTTCTCCCTTGACTTACAACAAGAAAACCCTAGTTCTTTCCTTTAACTCGTCTTCGCAAAATCAAGCGCATACAACCATCATATATGAGAGTACGTCTGTCTTCTTCCTCTTACAATTGCTAAGCCCTAACAATGAAATTGAAAGTCAATTGACCCTCCGTTCGAAGAAAAAGGTAAAAATTTTCCTTTATTTATTCCATTCCATTACTTTGACCTCATATTCTTCTGTTCTTCGTCTTTTTTATTCCAAAATATCAACTCTATCCCTATACTGTGTTTTCTTTAAATGGAGAACCATTCAATTTAGGGCTTGATTGCAATTTTCTCCACGAAGCCCTTCTTCAGTAGTCAGCTTTTTCATCTTTTTCTAAAGGACCAATGCCCTTCTTTAGTGATTTCAGGATCCATGTAAGTATCAATGTTGAATTCATCTTTTTCCGATTGCTTTTCCATCTCAGAATGCAAATGGGTCTGGAACTTTACATTATCTGTGATTTTAAGGGATGAACTTTCTTTTAAAGACCTTGCAAATTCCTTCTCGCTTTTTGATTTTCCACTTAGAACTAATACAACAGGTCGTTGGGACTCCATGTTTTCTATAAAAAAAGCACGATCTAGTTAGTATACACATATCATAAACACTGGATTCTGCAATCTTAGATGATAGCGATACTTAAATTGTAATACTTAAATTGGTGTGTTTAAGAATTTGTAGGTCCAACATGAAGGAACAATGTGTGATCTGTTAAGGTCTGATCCAGATGATAGATGCGGGTATGGGTTCTCTCCACATGGGGCTGGGTACACATTCGAACAAGACATCGCGTCTCACTTCAACTATACAAATGGGCTTACTCTTATCTCCAGAGCTCACCAGCTTTTCATGGAGGGTTTCAACTGGTGTCATGTATATTTACTTAATTAGCCCTCCATCCCTCTATCCCTCTTTAATGATAATTATTAGGCTTATTAATAATTTTTTGATTGATATTAGGACAAGAATGTGGTGACAGTGTTCAGTGCACCAAACTACTATATGACAGTGTTAATATCAGTTTCCCTGTTCTTTTTTATACTTGATGCACCTTTGATGTATCAAGTTGCCTATGTGTTCCTTGTCATATCTGATTTTTGGAAGAGTATGAAACGAGGAATGGGCATGGTTATGTTCTTTATGCACAATGCTTCTTACTTCAAAAACAGAGTTGGATCAGTATTGGGGGGAGTCGCAAGTCATGGGACCCCAACAACACGATGCTTCTTACTTCAAATATGGCTTTTACATTATCAACAAACCAATTTTGACTCCTTCCTTTTCAGATATGGTTGTTTTTTTTAGTTATTTTAACAATATTTTGTGACCAATTATTATTTTTGAATGTTGACAGTATGACCTCATTGGCAAGCTGCGTTCTATTAAGCATTATCTTCTTCCGGATCAGGTTAAGTTTTGATTATTGTGTTTTTGTAGTTTAAATTTTTTGAATTGTAATTTGTAATTAAATTTGATATTTGATTTGGTTGAGTTACAAATACAGGGTGATTTCTTGGTTCATTTTACGGATATTGCACTTGATGAACTTGATAAAACACCAAATGAGATCTCTGTTGAGAAGCTTCAGGTCTTTCTCCATTTAACTCGTATTATCTTACTCAAAAAAACCAGAGTATATTATGGGTAATTATTGTGAATACACCACTGATACTTTATTCTTTCCAATCAAACAATAATAGTTAAGACATTTTTTCCAAATTAACCATTCTAATTCTCCAAATTAACCATGTTTGACCTATTATATCAAGTCAAAATGGTTATCAATTTCAATGGCCATCATCATTGATGATGATTAAAGTTTTGGAGCCCTTCAGTTTTCTTATCATATATGCAGACTGACACAACTTCTGTGCTGTTAGAAGCTATTGGTTACATAAGATTCCTTCAGAGTCAAATTGAGGTGATGCTACTTTCCTTTCTTTTGTGCTTCTTCCTCTTCTTTTATTTACCTTTCACAAACTACCATGAGGCACAGACATGCCACATACAAACACAAACACACACACACACACACACTAAAAGCTTCACTTCCTTAATGTTATATAAACATACTATGCCTCAATCCCATATTAAACTATATCTCTCTGTTATATGTATGTTTTAAATTTCTAAAAAATTATTCCCTCTGCCCAAATGAGTATAAGTTGTTTTTTTATTCTCAAGAGTGAAAAAGTTTTTACTTTTTAGTTATGACATGAGTAT